GTCGTACTAACAGGTCGGGTCAGAATTCAGAAACTAACTGCGCGTTCGAAACTTTGGGGTAGCAGTAATTAGCGCCTCTTTTCAAGTCTGAGGCACATCGCCTAACATGAAGAAAATTCCGAAACTGTGTGCCAGAGGATTGGACAGAGAACGAGCGCATTTCTTCAACACCATGGGGGAATTCCATCGTAAGGTTCAGGTGTAGAGGGCTTGAGACGATCAAGCAGCTTGCAAATGTCATAGGGGTGGAAGCAGAATTTGTCTCGAAATCGTTGCATGGGTGAAAGGTCAGCACCACCAGCCCATTCAGTTGATAAGGAACGTTCGTTTGTGAAGATACTCGCGAAGAGCTCACCTAAGGCGATAGCCTTACCGGCATCTGAGTGGCATACTGCTTCCTAGCGGTCAAGGACAACAGGCAGACAGGGATAACCTTTCATTTTCTCATTCATGTAAGCGAAAAAGCTATTTGAAGAAGGTAGTGATGACAAGCGCGAGAAGTCCAAAACTTTTCAAGATGATAAATGATGTCTGAAGATTCTTTCTCGTACAGTCTGTCTTTCAATGTTCCGGAGGAATTTTGAAATACTCTTTCTTTTTGCAAAAGTAAATTGCTTATCTGCTCAGCATACTCCAAGCATGGCCCTTGAGGAATCTTCATTGGGCCATATAGCGATAGCTTTTCATAGATAATCAAACAGAATCTGGTGTAAATGTCGGACGCAGAAACATAACCATCGAAAGTCCTTAGCCAGTCGACTTCATCAAAGCTTACATTCAGAGAAGTATATAGTTATAGTTAGTTTATAGTATACAGGGTGGGCCAAATTTATGATTACACAGATATCACATCCCCGAAAACGAATAGAAAGCTAAAAAAGCAAAACAATTTTATAGAAGTGTCTATCACTAATCACTTATCAAAATAGTACATTGAGACTGGGATCTGTTGCTTTCTGCTTTCACCCAACCCCAGAGACGACGATGGACGTCATTGACGGTGGCACGCAGGTAAGGTCACCGAGTAGATCTCGGATTTAGGCATTCTCGAGCTTATTTCACTTCTTGTTTGGGCTAACGGATGCTTTCATCTCAAAGGCTGACCACACTGAGACATCCATGGGATTAAGGTCAGGGCTCCAGAGTGGTTACTGATCGAAGGTTATGGAGTCAGGGAACCACTTTTACGGAATTTCTAGACAATTTCTGACCTGCAGTCAGGAGCATCACCTTGGCAATATGTCCGGTTTGAATCGCCAAATTGTCCTTTCGCGCACGAAAAGATCGAGCAGGTCTTCAAATCAACTTNCACTCCTTATTTTACAAAAATAATCGGTGCTTTCGCTTTGGCGGTGACGCTCGCAAAGGATATTGCAGAAAGTCAGCGATCCTAGCGCTGCGTCACTTCCATTTATTTCTGCTTTATAAAACTTGTAGTCCTGCTTACTGGGCACCTTTTTCACCGCGGATATCTTTTCGCCCGTGGACGGGAATTCCGTACGACAATTTTTTGTAAGCTTCGGTGAGTCAACATTTCTCTTCTTTTTATTCTGCTCACTGGGGAATTCACTTTCTGATCATATAAAGGCCTTGTCGTGCAGATGATGCTTCACGATTTCACGCAGAAAACTTCATACAATATCCATTTATTTAGTCATTTTGGGCTCAGAATGAATTTCGCTGCTACGCAGACCTTCGCCCTGCTTCATTAAAACCCCCACTAGATATAATCGCAGGCCTCTTAGGAGTACCACTCCTATCTGTAATTGTTCCCAACTCCCGAAAGCGTCTTATGGTTGACTGTACCCCCTGCCTTGTTACGCTGAGTCGTCTGTAGATGCAGCGTGCCAAAAGTGCTTGTAAATGCAAAGTGACGAGTTATTCACAGGGTAATTACGCTTAGATTATTTTCAAAATCTACCAAAAGTTCAGTATCATCAGGAAGGTAATAATGTAGTCTACCTTGCGAAATAGAAGAAAGCGAAGGATTCGCTATGACCTCAGAAAAAAATCGTTATGAGCGTCAGCGCGCGCTGTAATCATAATTTTGGCCCACCCTGTAGTATATAGTTAGTTTATAGAAGTATATAGTTACTAGTTGGCTCAGGCCAGAATGCGAAAGAAAAATATGAGGAAATTCCCCGAAGAGACATCAAAGAGAGTAGGACCATGCCAGTCGATTCTCAGATTGAAGTCCCCGAGAATGACGGTATCTTGTCAATAGTTGTATCAGCTTTCGAGATTGTTAATAATGCTTTATACACGGTTTACGTTACGTACGGAATCGCCTTCATCGGAATCGGTAAGTCGAAAACATGTTTGTGATTCGTGGGTTACCATTCTCGAAAGCTGACACAACTCTCGACGAACTTGTTTCAATTCGCCGAGATTAATTGAAAGTCGGACATGGGACGGTATCTTGTTTGGAGAAAACGAGAGATACAAGCAGATCAATCAACTCATCATCATCTTTCCTGACAGAGTCAGGTGGGCGATATACAACAACGAGCCTGATGCAGGATGCCAATGAGGGACAAATCAGATCAATGCAGAGTGTATCAGAATTGATTACATAATCGTGAGGAATAACTTCGAGCAAAAGAATGCTTCTGATATACAACAAATCCCACAGCCCTTGTGTCTGGCTCTATCACAACGGTAAACATTATGTGGTAGATGACCCAAAAGTTCAAAATCACTGGCAGCAGCTTCAAGCCATGTCTCGGTCACAAAGACCAGGTCTGGTTTCTTTTAATGAGGAACAGTTGCAAGTGAAGCAGTTTATTGGCTATTATAGCTGCGAGAATCAAACAGAAATCAGGGAAGGAGGCATGCCTGACCTCGCGAGTTTGAGCATTTCCCTAATTCCTGCTGGGTAGTTCAGAGACATGTTTGAGTTGACCTCTGAAAACTACCCACTCCTTTTACTTTTGCCCCTATTCCTCTCATTGGCAGCCTGCCTCATCTCGTAATCCTGTTATCTCTTTTCCGTAGTCATGCTTTTCCGGACAAAAATGTCACGAAAGCCGCCTAAAGGAGATTCCGAGCGTTTCCCAAAGCTCCACGCCAAACATCTGTTCCTGGTTGTCGAGCATTGAAACGAATCCGAGTTCATCACCAAGTGTTGAAGGACATCCACACCACTGAGGCCTCTACTTTCGCGTGATTCAAAGAACATTTATTCTACTCCATTCACGAAAACGACGTGCGACGAGCGATGCCCTCTCGTGTCGGTCGGTCCGATGGAATCGTGTTGATCTTCCCTCGTTCTTCCTAGCTTGCACTCTCTTCAAATCAGATCAGACACGTTTCCGATGCAGGTGTCTGTGCATTAAGAGTAAGTACATGTGGGCTGACGTACCAAAACAAAAATGTTAGTAATGGAAAAAGGTCAAAACATTTTCAGTAATTTTTTATTGTGAGATTATTTCATTTGTAAAATACAATGTAGCAAAAATTTGAGCATGGTGTCTGAAGAATCAGACTGGGCAAATAAGTACATTGTCATTCCTTTGATTGGGAATGGAACAACTCGCAACTGTTCAACTCAATATAAGCTTGATCATCTATCATCACCGATTCCGATTTGTAAAGAGACAGTACGCACTCGTCCAAATTTATTGTTCTCGGATCTCATCGACCCTACTATCTTCTTCTCGTGATCCATTTCATTAGGAACAATCTGGTTCTATAAGTGCCTATATTTCAGAGGAAAGTTCACATTTCGTAGAAATAAAATTGAAAAACCTCACCGTGATCTTTTTTCTAATAAGGATGGGAGCAGAGAAATCAAGGACAAAAGATCCAATAGGGGCTGTAATCAGCACCGCAATTATGCAACTGATCACCACCTGAAAGAGACGAAAGTAAATAATGCGCACAGATTACAGTTTATTTTTTTATTCAGTGCTTCACTTCCACAGTTGGATTTTTAAAAACTAATCTCAAAAAGAAATTGTGTTTAGTTACAGTCTCGCCCTCCTTCTGTGTGGCCGCCACACATGTCTGATTATTTTCAGTACTGATTCGAGTCGAAAAATGGGGATATACCATCGCAGCTGCCTCGTCAAAAATTGGGTGTTCTGTTTGAGCCCATGAGAGTTTACAGAATAAGTGGCCTTGTTTGACAGGTGCATGGTCACTACGTAGAAGACAGAAGCCTCAGCGGAGTGAGCNAAAAAGAAAAGAATTTTACTGGTTTGAATATCATTTATTCATAGTTAGAAACTCAAAAGGTAGCAGTGCTTTGGGTTGGGAGGGGGAACAGGTCATATTAGTCAGCTCTCCTCATTGGTTGAACTAGGAGCGGGTGTATTTTGACACATCGATGAGAAATGCATAGTAAGATCGCTACTCCACCACTACTCTCGAAAAAATTAAATTACGTAGGGCGACGATCTTTTGGAAGTAGTCACAAATATATATGATGTTTATTCCCTATGTTTATCTCTTTTTTTCTCCTACACTCAGTTTACAAAAAAAGATTCCTAAACTGGGTCATAATCAATGCTGTAGTGGATAAGAGTGAGGCTCGCGTCTGCAGTTAGAAAGAGCGCGAGTTTGATCCCTGCCGAGGCAAATCCATGCCTTGCAAAAATTGGTATCGGTATCAGAGCAGGTCCAGGTTGACAGACCAGCAGGTGAAAAAAGCTGGTTACAATAATCATGGTCTCGAAAAGTGTCAGTGATAGAACCAGGACGTCACCTGAAAGTGGTGCATAGGAGCTTCGCCCGGGCCCTGTGGACAGTATGCGAGGGCTAATATGCTGTAGGTATTCTATTTCCCATTACATCTCTGATGCGCAATTTTCCATACTTGAATTCGAGAGTAACTATTTATGACAGTCTATTTATGACACTCTGGCGACCGCATTCAACGATTCACCCGCTTTAATCCGTTACTGTCAATCCCTGTAGTGCCTTGTTGATATAACCCCCCCCCCCCCCCCCCCTTCATGGATTTTTGTATCATGTGGAAAGTACTGAAGGCCTTTTCACGCTCATTTTATGTTCTGGAATTTGCCCCGCTTCTGAATGAAACACTTTACAGGAACTGATCCAAACCATACAAATGATGCCTCGTCTTTGAATCGACACCGCTCCTCTGCCAGCACGAAGAGATTCGGTCCGAGAGCTGCCTGAATTCACAAAATCAATAGCCCATCTGAAAATGTGGTCAGTGTTAAGCAGCCTACCTGGACTGTTGCCTTCGGAACAAGTGACCAAACAACTATAAACTGTTCCCCAAGATTCAGAGGGGAACAAGCTACAATGGCAAAGCCGCTGGCTAATCGAGCAAGTGTGCCAACAACAACGAGGATCAAACCCACATAAACTGCTTGAACCGATATCTGGAAACATTTTTGCTTTGTTAACGATTCTTATTATTGCTTTGATGTGGTGGCACCAGTTGTTAGGCTCGATTAGTTGAGGATGAGCTGATTCGAAGAACGACTATTTCTCGATGCGATTTAGCTGTGGGTGTGGCTGTTGCACGAACTTTTCGTGTAGAAACCAGTGGAAGTATCACGAGTTTCACATGAGATCATGAAATCACTTGCGAGTAGCATATTATTAAATGCATATTATATTATTATTATTGAAACAATGAGATCTTGCATTTCAGAATTACAGCCACATTTTCAATTTTATGGTGTTGTCGCGACATTCTTTACGAGCATGACTAGTTCTGAACTCTGGAACTCTAAATTTTCCATCTCAAATAACACTTATGTATGATATCTGACCTGTTTTGATCTCAAATCTGCCGTCTTGTTTTGCAAAATGCTTCTTGGCTAAGAATATAGAAATGGTCTTAAATGAACACAACGACAACTCGCAACATTGGGAAGACCTGGGCCCTAAAAGCTCCAGACGGAGAGATTTTTGCAAATATAAAGTTTTCCCTTCTCACGAGGCACTCCCTTATGAACCACAAAACCATAGTATGTTGTTAATGTCATCTTCATGGCCTTATTTATATGTTTGTTGCCTTGTTATACCTGGTTAGGCTCCTATCTGAACCTACTTCCTATTTTTTCTCGATAATTCACACTATGTACGATACATCGATAGAGTGCTATGTTTTAACATACTCCAGGAACAAATGTGTTCGAATGTTGGGAAGAAATTACTAAGAACGAAAGGCGGCTACCAAACTGTTCATATAGGTGTTCTCATGAAATGCACTTTTGTACCAAATTGAACGAAAACATGAAAGTACAGATGGGCTGATGCTCAAAAATGCGTTTCAAGGTGAAAGTAGTTTGGCTTCGCAGCTTTTGTAGTAGGAAACAAGTTAATAGTCGATACGTTCCGTTGCCTGATCAGCTGCCTAGGTTTGATGCAATCAGGAGCTAAAGTTCGGTAGCCTTGGAAAAATTCATACTAGAGGGCGAGAAAAAGCTGTCGGAATTCGACTATTTTCGCAAAATCCCATCAATCAAGGGAACTCATTCAATATGGGGCTAGGATAAATTTTGTTGCTATTGATACCAAGAGAAATGATTTCCGAAGCGCATCAAACCTCCGAGATGAACTGGTCATGATGAGCTTATAGATGAGTGAAGTAAAGGGATAAAAGCTGTAAAACATTTTTTCGAGAGTGTTTGCAAATAATTGGTGGATTATTAAGAATAAGTAAAAAATCCCTCCCGTAAGATCAGTGATTATGAATGTTAAACAAATGGAAGTAAAAGTTCATGGAGGATTGATTCACCGAGGCGCTACTTGTGTAGCCTCTCTCACTGGTGTTCTTTCTCACTGATGCATCCTAGCCGGTCCGCGACGAGGCTACGTAGGACATCCCTAGGTGGCGGATAGCGGAGTGAATCGCCGACCAAAAGTCTCCAGTACTTGCCCAGAGATGCAGATGGATTCAGGGGATGGACTCCCTGACTATGTTGCGGTGGTCGATATACCCTCTGTTTCTTGCAGAGTCTGCAGGTGCAGTTGAAATTCTGCCCATCGACTCAGCCAAAAATATGCATTCGTGTGAGTGAGAAATATCAGGAAGGCGAATCGGGGCCGCCTTAAAAAACAGAGCCCCTCGCCTACTTTGAAACCGTCTGGCTAGTACCTGGAGTCAATCGATCCCAACGTTAGAGTCCGGCAAGCTACAGGTTGCGTACCCATTTGCCAAAAACAGTAATATGAGTGGACCTCACTATCCTGAAACTGAGGGCGCCCCTCTCGGAAGAGGCTTCTAAAAACTCAGGGCCAAAGCAGGCTGCCCAAAAGGAGAAAGACTAAGATGGCGATCGTACTTTCAACGCACGGACGAAGCTCTGATGATGGAAGCTGGGGATATCAAGTACGACGTCATTGGACTGACCGAGACGAGAAGGCATCGTCCGCTGCGCGCCGTATTTGAGGCTAGTTAAGAACTGTTCTTCCGAACATGCGACAGTAAAGGCGTCGGCGGCGTAGGTGTCCTCGCCAACACGCACTTGGCCATAAACATCGATTTGTGCGAAAGCTTAACGACCCGAATCGGACAATTGCGATTAATAAGATGTAACTCAACCCCAACTCGAGCGATCTTCGTTGCCTACACACCAACCCAAGCTACGGAGAAGAGGAGATGGAAGCGTTTTATATGGATCTGAAGAGGCTCTACAGAGAAGACCCTCAAGAAGATACTTCCCTCAAGGTCATCGTCGGTGATTTCAATGCCAAGATTGAGCCCAAAAGAAAGTCCGAAGAGCTCCACTTCGGGACTCATGGAATGGAATGGAATGAGCAGGATGAAAGGCTGTCTGAGTTTATCATGTCGACGGGTATATGTACATTCACCCAGAACTGGATGGACGCGGCAAATCGCGCGGCGAGTTTCGTAGCGATTTGAACGACTTTACCGCATATCATTGGGGCCCAAATTTGAAGTAAAGTCTATTATTACGATCACCTGACAATAGTAATGTACTCTACTTCAAGTTTGTGCCCCAATGATAGGTGCCAAAGTCGTCCTAAATGCCACGAATCTCGCCGCGCGATTTGCCGCGTCCATCCAGTTCTGGGTCAATGTTCCGTCCCCCATGTCGACCCACACCATCCATCGTAACTCGCAGTTCCAGAAGCCCTCCACTTGCGATGAACATGTGAGTCACATAGCGGACAGTTCCATAATGAAATAAACAACATCATCTTCGATCGGAAAGTTTGTTTGACTGACTTTGCTGTTTTTCTGAAGTTCTACACGTTATTGGACCACATCGCCTCCTACGCGCTATACCCTGCTTCTCAGTGCGTGGAGAGAGAGCTATGAAGTTCGAGAAACGAGACCAAGACCTCCATCAACTGGAACCATTTCGGTTCCCTCGCGAGTGAATGGGAAGAGTTCGTTACTGCTAACATCGATGAAGAATACAACCAGCTCGTCGAACATCTCCACGATAAAGCTGGGAAAGCAAAGAGTCTACAGTTAGCCAAGAGACGACTCTCTTCGAAGACTCTCGAGCTAATATTCCACGTTGATCGCGTGAACTAGGGCAATCATCAACAAATGTCCGAACTTGCGAAGCACTGCAGAGAAGCAATAAAAGAAGTTCTGAGAGAGAAGAGCAGCAGTTATGGACGAAGCCGCCGAGGCCGAAAAGAGCATTCGCAAAGCCCGACGGAGCTTCGACAATCTTGAAGGGACGGTTCACGATAAAGCCGGCTACTCTCTTTTAGGAATACTCAGTGGCCTCATTGGGTGGTAGAAGGGACCCTCTCGCTCTTAAAATCTCGATGGTCAAGGCATAGTGGAAGCCCTGTTGCTGGCTCGAGTGGCTTTCCCGCCTCTCGATCGATGTCACGCCAGACGAGTGTCCAGGCAATACGGATTGCGATTACTCGCTCTAGGAGCCACACACAATCAGCTGATCGCCGATTGATGAGGCGGTGTTTTTCTCCCATTCTTTTTCCTCTGTTATTCTCTTTGCTGCCGCAACCCTTTGTAACTTCCTACCCTAAGAGGCTGAAAAAGGTGAGCTATTCTTGCTGTAATTAGGGTTTTTGTTCTCTTATGCTTATAAGTGGGTAAGTGTTTGCTTACCGTAGTCAGTTAATTGCACCAGGACTCGCACGTACGCAATGACGCACTGTGCGTAGCTCGTCCAAACGCCCCACCCTTCTTCGTTGTCCTGACCTCAATTTCGTCCACTGCCCTTTTTAACGATTTTTCGAAGCCTCTTTTCACTTAGGAATTACCGATAAATGCAGTTCCTTCGCCTAGACCGCACTATTTTCCATCTTATTTTCCATATTTCGTCTAATCTGGGTTACCCAAAAATATCGTGAACTGTGCCTTCCAGACCACGATGACTTGCCTTTGTTGTCCTGACGAACAGTTACTGCATCTCGAAGAGCAATAGAGAAGTTCGACAGGGCGACACCATCTTGCCCAAACTTTTCAGTACCGCTTTCGAGAACATCATGCGTCGCTTGGAATGGGGGAATGGGAAGGCTTGAGACTGAATGGTGCATTAGTGAGATTCAATTTAACGGGAAATACAGATAGCACTGAGCTAAGAAAAACCGCTTGATATTTACAGTAGCGGCCGAAAGTCTTCGGTGAAACGCTTTTCCGATTGAAACTTTTTCTTGTTTCATAAAATCACATAAAACTTTAACTTTAACTTTAATCAAACAGATATTGTGAATGCTTATCGCTATTGAACTGCAATTAGCTATTGTTAAGGGTGCATTGGTGAGATTTAATTCAATTTCACTGGAAAGTACAGATAGCACTGAGCTAAGAAAAACCGCTTGATTTTGGAATAGCAACATGGACGATAAGAACGTCTCGGCTTTTGATGACGCATCGCAACTGGAAGGCATCAGTCAATCAGTTTCTGAATGGTAGACACTGGCATAGCGGAACACTGGCAAAGTCGACGGCGGCTACCTACATTACCTCCGTTGTGCAGACGACATCGCGCTTATAACACCGAACATTGAGCATGAGGAATGAATGCTGGCCATGAGGACTGCCGGATTATGCCACCCCTTTCGTACAATTGAGTATCATACTTCAATTTCGAATATCCACTTTCTACGAGACCCACGACCGGGTCTCCCAATATTTCAGGATAGCTAGAAACCCTTTCTAGCTAGCCATTCTGAAATTTGAAACCCGACTGAGTTCCAGCTTGCAATCAAGGAACCTACTACTGACCTGAATAGACCACTAAGAATGTTAGTTGACTTAAACTTGCCAGCTGAGCAGAATTGTTAACTGGGCTCTCGCTAAGATCGAAACGACAGAAATGCAAAACAAATGACGACACAATCGTCTCAAGGTTGCCATAATGGTGCTCATAAGAATTCTATGACACCCTGTTTTTACCCAGACAATCTTGAGAGCACACTTGTCTGTAATTAGGTGCTGTCTTAGTGATAAATTTCGTATATACTTGTTCACATTCAGACTGAGCAAATTCTGCTATCAACTGGATGATATTGTTTGAAGGCGTTCTGAGTTAGTCTACATCATGATACTTATGAGAAGACGACTGTGTGAACCTTTGATCAAACTATCTTCGAACCAAATAAGAGTCAGTTGAAATTAACCAAAGCTCTGATTGTTTGGCTCGACAAGCTTCCTCCTCCTAGCTCGCGCGAGAAGAAGAACAGTCACTCACCTTAGTGAAATCAAGGAAGGTCCCAACGAGAGAAAACAGTAGGGGAGATGCCACATAGAACCACGTTTTGGCGAAGAAGTTCGCTACGGGAGCAAGCTGAAACAACTGCTTCGAATGGAGGACATTTTGGCACAGAGGAATAATCTTTGTCTTGTCAGGGAAGAGAAGGAGCACATATTTAGTCTCACAAGGTTGGATAGTAGTGGACAAAACTTCGGCATCGGACAGAACTCGAAAGAGCACTTGTGTTACCTGCGTAGCGTACTCTTATCCCCTACACTATCGAGATCCATGTATTCAGTGAAAAAGACCGTAGTACGTCAGCTGAATCTGACCGCCGCTAAAAGGCGAATTCATTTAGAAATCTATAACGCGTACCTTTTTCGGATTGTCGGTCCGCCAACGTAATGGAGCGACAAAGCAAAGTACCAGACATGCGACAACACCCGGAAATCCATGATTGACTGCAGTCATCCCTGCAAATGCGCACAGCAATTCAGGGACGTTTTTTACTTTCGAAACGAATTAAGTCTCAGTCTCACAAACCTATTATGATCCCGGTGCTGAGGAAAATGATAAGTAATGTCCTAATCGAATTACTACTCTTTTGGGATGGGAGCGGAAAATACCATAGCACACATCCTGAAATCAAATAAGAAGTTTGATAGTGGTGGGTATTAATATCACCAAACACCAACCCATAGAAATTCCTAAGATTGTACTCAGAATCATTTCCCCCATTTGCTTGACAAGAGTAGAGAACTTTGACTCTGAAATGAGTATTATAGCAGTTGTTTCTCTGAAACGACGCTCTCTGTCGTACCGTCTGTGAACGTAATGGCAGAAACCATCGTAACGACGATGATCGAAAACGTATTATCGAAGCAGCATGCAGCAGGAACAAAGGACGGAATATTCTGAAAAATCGCATAAATTTTGGCAAAGCTGTAACAAAATTTCTGCGGACTTTGTCTGTTCCTCGATTCTGCTGCTGTAGTTTTAGCATAACCGGCCCACAAACAGCTGGAGAGACAGTCGCTAATAAAAACCTGAAAAGAGAACGTAATCAATCTTCAGATGAGGGGATGAGAGTATGAGATGCTTTTTGATAATATTATGGTTATTCATACAGTTACAGTGTTACAAAGTACGGTACGATTACCATATTTTGAGGCATTAGAATACTTCGGTTAGCTTGGGTATTGAAGGTGATAGTAATCAGTGTGCAGTAAGAAAGTACATCATGTCATTGTTCATCACTGATGCTTGAAATGCCACTACAACGTCATACATCACCAGTCGGCATGACCATTTATTTGCAGGAGCCGAACCAGATATAAGCTACCTTTGTTTTGTAGACAAATTTATTTCAGTCAACAAAGCACAGAAGAAGAAAAAGATTGCTTGTCGAGGCCTCACACATTTATGGTACGGAAACTCGCTCAGTATTTATGAATCTGTCCACTGTCTGATCTCTGCAGATTGTCGAGAACTGGGAGAACTGTCAGTAAGACGGAAACCGCAACTTACAAGTTATCCTTGAACCAAGAAGTTGCATCGGAAATAGTTGTATTTTGTATGTCTCCGAGCATTTTTCAACATCTAAATGCCATCCAATTTGAAACAAGTTTCCTCAGTCAAAATCTACCGTTTTCTCTCGCTCCTGTGATGAAAGATAAATCCCGATCCAAAATGTGCATGTCTTTAAAACTAATCGAAAATGCGGCATAAATCTTAAGTCATCCGAAGGATATAAAATAAGAATGTCGTATCTTTCTATTATCCTGGTGACTTCATTCAGTCAGTTGGAAACGTCGTGATATATTTATTCTCTGAAAGTCGAACGGGTTAAATGAATGCTTTCAGATTCGCATGGAGTATTTTGAGCCTGCTTCCTTCGAAGCTTCACGCTCATACTCAAGGCATGAAGATTGTCAAAATCAGTGCTCAGTCTCCGCTCTTTATTCGCTTTTGTCCACTTCGGGTGAATCCAATAGAAACATTTTTCTTAGCTCATTTGCATTACGAGATCTTTGGTGCAGACATTCTTTGCAAGCGTTCGTGCTTGAAAAATATGTATGTGTTCATGTATTCACTACAGTGTCTGCTTAAAGGCTCGTTTCACGATAAAAAAAGGTTTCTGAAATTTCCTTATAGTATGAATTAGAGGCTCCCCCTTATGTCGTTATAGAGCGAAAAACATCCTGGATAGGGCACAATATGGAACCAGAGATTGTATCGTGTTAACACCCCTAGTGGACGAGTCTCAACGGCATTGTAGAGGCTGCACCATTCAAAGGGAACCAATGTAGGAAGTTTGAACAATTTGTCATGACCCACAGCGACAGTGAAAGGCAGTTCTGGACAGTTATGGTTTGATGTAGTCAGCTCTTAGCACGATGGGACCAAGTCATATCTCGTCCAGGAACCCCTTACATGCTATTCCTGTCGCGGTGATCTCGTACAACCTCCACTTCCACTATTTTTAGAAAGCTTGAAGTAGACGGATTTTCTCGCTTTGATGTACTTTGATGTCTACGTTCTGCGACTCTGATTTTTCATTTGACAAGAAGTGTAATTGCAGTGACAAAGATCGACTGAAGCCACTTCATTACAAGGAGATGGAATTTGGATCATTTCTTGCTCTTACGGGAAGGATACTTAGTCGCAGTAGCCATTCAAGATGAGATGAATATGTGTACAGGTGGTTTCGAACGCTGATCCCAAATTTGTCTTCCAAATCTGCTAAACGTTTCTGGGAACAAAGTTAAGGGACCAGTCCCTCCCTGTATTATACCACTCACTGCAACGAAGGAATCAGCGAGGCTAGCATACCTCTTACGTGTGCAACAGTGGCCTAGCGGATTATGAGGTGAACTGATAGGTATGACATCAATGATCGTTTCCTTGATGCATGCGCTCGCTTTGCTTTTCCATAAAATGTGTCCTATATGCTTGCAAAACTTTTTGAGCTCAATATCGGCCATCTAGGGAGCCATCTAACATTTAAGGGCACTGAGAAGGTATTACAGGGGAAGTTTTTTTTTGTACCCCACCGGCCTAAAAAGGTTGGACCTCCACTCAAACAAAAGAGGAATTCTTAACAATTGCATAAAAAGGGCTTCAGAAGCATCAAGGAGAATGGTTCTAAGTAAATCATTGCATCAAAAGCTCTTCAGCACGTTACTAGTATTCTGGCCGAAGGTGGTGCCATCGCATTTGATGAAGGACATTGTTCTTGCAGCATAGTCTGGGCGATATCTGGGAAGAGGAGGTAATAGAGAGCTTTTGAACCGTACTGCTCGATGCTATAAAAACAATCTATCCACTGCGAGGAAATCGATCCCCTGCGGTCGCCTGATGATGACAACGGCTATGGATCCGTAACTTTGCGAAAGAAACCGTACATACGTTTGTCGGAAAATGTGGTTCCGAAGTGATACGATGCCCTCAACTTTGCGATGCGGCTTATGAGTTCTGATTTTATGGCGCTGGTAGAAGGGTGCATAGCCCTATAGTTCGACTGTCATCAGCATTCGCCCTTCCTCGTACATAAAAAATACCTTTTGTATCATCACGACAGAGTGCCGTCTACAGAAATTCAGGACAAACATCAGAGGTCATGAGTTTTCAAATTAGTCTATCATCGTCAGTGCAAACAAGCGGAACGATCTGTCTACTTATAGAGACTAGCGGATAAGTTGGAAAGATTTATCACAAAATTAATGTAGCGATCTCATTGCACGAACTGGATGACGCTTCAAATCAACAATGAACATCCATAGGGGACAACTTCAAAGCAAGTCGCAGGCGAATCCAGGGTTTTGGATACAGACGTGGTATCATGTTCCATCGCACCACCACGTTTATCTCATGGAAGGGCTTCTCGAAAGTGCATAAGAATTAGTGCATAACCATACCTGCACACAAAGCGATAAGCAATTGTTCTACAGTTTTTCTTCAACAATGCCAGTCAACCTGTACTCCCGCTTCGAAAGCGCGAACAGTATCAGTAGAATGTATGGACCGTCTCCCTCCCTATCCGTATGTATGTAAGTGCAGGGAGCTGCCGAAGATTCCGAAACACTAACTCGATTGTTCTGGGTAGAGAGGCGAATATATTTGGTCAGTTGAGATAGAAAAAAATTATTGGTTCACTCTTTTCCGGAATAATGTGAACTCGCTCCTTGGATGGCCAATATTGAGCCCAAAAAATCTTTTGCATGCGTTTACAACACATTCTGTCGAAGGCCAAAACGAGCGCATGCATCAAGGAATCGATCCTTGATGTCACACCTATCAATCCACCACACTAACCGCTGGGCCACCGACCGTTGCACGAAAAAATACTTTGCTCGGCTCGGTGATCCGTTCAGTATAGTGGTATAACACAGGGAGAGGCTGATGCCGCAACTGCCGCCGTTGTTCACAGAATCGTTTATCAGATTTGGAATACATATTAGAGATCAGTGTTCGAAACCACCTAATGCGGTATACATCTCATCTTGAATGGCCACTGCGACCAAGCATCCTTTCCTGTTAGATACCGACAGCTGCCCAGCAGGATCTGTAACTCGATGAATCACAGCTTCTCTTGATATCGATACCATTTGCAGCCACACTCATCCCACCGCCAATTATCTGGGATTCCCAACTAATGATATATCCGTACACGACAGTGATAGTGGCGGTATTATCACTCCACAACATTTGTGAGCACCATTCAAGGCTTTGGATGCCTAACACTTACCTCTTTACAGGACGATCATTTTGAGATGAAGAGCAACAGGTCGAGAGTTCTAATCATAGGCATACGCATCTGCAAGTACTGTAAACCACTTGCAGTGCCCTGTTAATCCGGTGTCAATTCCGTGTTCGGAAAGTATCATTTAATTAAAGAAGAAGTAGCCGGTTAGACGATTATACAACTCCGTCATGGGAGGTAGAGGAGCCCGACGTTACCTGGACGATGTGCTTGGGATATATATACCGATATATATTTAAATATATAACATAAATATAAATATATACAATATTATACTAATATATGTGCATATACATGCATATATAATATATACATATATATGTATATGTATATCGATAAGCGTTCCAACGCAAAGTCAATAGGGCCCTTCACGGTTGAACGTTTACGAGTGATTGATGGGTACTCACCATATGTCAAATCCAATGAAAAGCACAAAAACACTGAAAAACAGATCAAGAAGCTTCGTCATATGTTGCAGTGAGAGGAGAAATCATTGGATGTGAATAATTGCCACCAGCAATCTATATATGTGCGACGAGGAGGAACGCCATCACTGACCGAATCAATTAGGCCAAATTAACGCTATTACTATTTACTCCAAAACGTTGCTAGAACGTTGCATATGACGAACTTTTTTAACGGTTTAAGTATTTGAGGTATAAGACTCTCGAGTGAAGCTACAGTGTGGATAATTAATTACAGCTCTTATAAACTGCCTAACAAGAAATACTTAGGTTGGCAAATAAGTCCTGCGAGAAAATAGAGACCTTTTTAAATCATTTCTAAATTTTTTCATATCAATCAATTTTCAGAAAAATACTCGCCGAAGAAGTCAACAATCTTTTTTTATTCTTTGAGCCAACCACTGATGCCATCTGTTCAGGAGTGACTCAAAGAAGTAATTTACTGCCGTTTTTCGCTCACATTAAGTTACGAATTTCTTTTCCACAACGAAATGCTCAAAAAGGCGGAGCACATGGTATTTAAAAGGGGAAACACTCCAAACACTCTGATTTACGGCTTTGGTCGTGCTTCTCTAAGTCCGTTGGCCAAGTAAAGAGGATCATATGGGCAGACGATAGCTGTTGTGTCCATCTAGACTGCTTTTAGCAACTCATAGCCAATGGATTCCTTTGACCTCCATCAAATCAAGGGACGATGCATGCATTACTCCGAAGGCTAGTATCTCCTGCAGTGGAGCGATCCACCCGATTGTTGACTGTCAATGGATGAGCAGTGCTCGGATGGATCGCTGATATTTCGAGCCGCTACACACGCGTTTTTTCCTTATCGTGCTTAGTAGGTGATGATGCAAATCGGGTGTTGCCCATTCATTGACCGTTATGCTGCGAAAGCCCACACGCGTGCCCTTATTTCTTATTTACTCATGTGTTTATTGCCCGGGGAACGTCCTACAAGTTTATCACCCTTGCTACGGTGTTCACACTGTTGATACAAATTTCAACGCTTCAGATATATATATAATATATATATGTACGTGGAGATCACGTGAGCGCAGTGGGGGGGGGGGTAGTTCAAACACTAGCCAATTTTTTCAGAGAAGAAAGAATGTTGGGTAGGAAACGTTTTACCTTGGCATCTGTTGGTATCAGGCATCATCGAACACTCTGCTGACTGTTTTCAATTACATCTCCGATGCACAATTGAATAATGTTTTGGGGCGTTAATCAATCCCGTCAAAAGGATCCCGCGCATTCGACTTCCATTCAGAATCGTAGTGGCGCAGTGCGCATGTGGCCTATGCAATGACTTGCGATGGCCGGCCAATGTACAAGTCAGTGCTTTTCTGCATCTCCGCCCTATGCGTAATTTCCTACAATCAAACTAGAGCGACATTTTCAATATAATGAAATGAGCTACAGGACATTTTGCTCTTTAGTGTTAATCACGGATGAAGTGAGGGAAGAGCCCTTATATCCTCTGCGACGGTCGGTGGTCCAGAACGTTTATAAAACAGTGTAACGGTGGTGAGGCTCTCCATGCTTCAAGGCAGTGAGTTCTGATCCGTAAGAAAAGATCGTGAAAGACATCTTCACTTCCCTGAAATGAGGATGTTCAGTTGGGCCTGCGGTTGGATGTGACTGGAGCGGGCCAGAAACGGAGACGTCAGACAGCTATGCAGTTCTTGTCCAGCTGAATATAAGAAAGAAGCGTTTGTGATGCGCTGAGAATCCAACAGAAGCATATGATAAGGCGAACGAGTTCGAGGACCATGGTAAGCGAGAACGAGGAACCATAAAGAAGATGTGGTAAGGCTTGATCAAGGAAGAGCTCGGCGGAGCTAAAGTAACGGCAGAACATGCGGCGGTTGACAAGTATCCTTGGCAGCGTGGAACGTGGAAGTAATGAGAGGGAGAAGGAAAAAAAGAAGAAGGAGAAAGGTTAAGGGGAAATGAGAGGGAGGAAGGGGGAGGAGTAGGAGAAGAAGAGGGTGATAATTATCCCATCTCGTGAGAGCACTTCCACAAGCGCCTACTAGGGTGACGGAACTTCTCCCCGAATTCTCATGGCCTGTGGCAGTGGTCACGTGGCGACTCACTGTATGCTTCAACTGTGAATTCGAATCTTTCCCTTCACAAGGCACGATCGCGGCGAGCACGACACGCCGTTTGGGGAGAAGATATCGGACCTGTGCCTACCATCTATTTCTGCCAAAACTTCGTATCATCACCATTAGTCCCTAAGCCACCTGAGCCATGCCTAGCTCTTGTTTGTAGTGTGATAGTATTTTTCCGGACGCGAACACATGCTCACACACACCCATACAAGCATAGACCACAACTGCCCAACCACATGTATTCACATTCACTTTTAGTGTTGTGTGTTGTGCTATTGTTCCTATTGTTTTTGAAGTATTTCGATTCTTGAAAAAGAAGCTGAAAGTTGAGAAAATTTTCAGAGTTTGCTATGTTGTTTTTCACGCTGTTGGGAGCATAAATCGCATGTATATGCATTCAGCAAAATTTATTCGAACCCACGCTTACCTGTGCTGAACTACAACGTTCATACGGTCTTTACTAATGAGAAGGGCAACATGTTTAGAAGATTGGCTGCACCAGTATAGAACGCGAGAAAGTATAGATATACCTACCCGCAAATGACTCCGAATTCGATTGGAACCTTGAAGAAGAGTACCGAAACGATAGCAATGGCTGCGGCCTCAGCAGCTGCTGACAAAACTCCAAGTGCAAGCGGATATATCTTGAAAAAAAAAGATAATTTTTTTATAGGATCATTATTAATCGTCATTATTAGTCACCAAATAATTGCGCTATCAACATCATCGTTTAACATTGTTCACTCGCGGAAATATGTGAACAAAAAACTATATTGATGGAATAAGTTGACAGTGACGAGGATGAGAAAAATATGTGTTCCGCCCCTCCGTTCTCTTCGTCTACGTTCACATTGGGCTGTGACTTTCACGGGATTCTTTCTCTAACATTCCGTGCTTTTGCACTATGGCAAATATCGTCCAAGTAGACGGAGGCGGTGTGTGTCAAGGTTTCATACCGCTCCCAGGTAAACTTTAAGGGCATATTCCGGCAAATAACACCAACGACCGGGGGTCTCAAACCTTCAGAGTCGATCAATTGTCACTAGACTTGTTCGCGAGAATTTCATCCACAAATGTCAGCCCAAACGAGATTGCTTCCGAAGTTCCATCATTTAACAATTCTGGTTCTTTTTCATACCCTTCTCCGCCGAGATTAATGATCGATTGGTCGGTCATGTTGTTTTCTGTCTAAAGTTTATCCTGAAGAATTATCGCTTCGACTTCTCTTCATCTTACTTTTCACCTTTCTGTCACATACATAATGGTGAAACATCGATCTCACCTAAAATAGCACTATGACAAGCAGGTACTTTTTCTATATGTAATGAACGAAAGGTGTGGAAGCTATTTGTACAGTGCTCACTGTATTATTACTTAGATGGAACTAATCTCTCAGCGACGGTTTCCGCTGATTAAAATCGGTAAGATCAACACGAGAAAATGCTTAGCGAATAGTGAGCTTTTCGACTATCTTCCACCAACATCTTTGTTAGGGTGTGCAAACTTGTGTACGAGTGAGATAAGGGTATGAACGATCCCGAACGCTTCACATCTAGGTGCAAAGTGATCTCAATCGTGCAAAACCTTTGCGCGATGATATGCTCTTTGCTCTAATGCTCTTTGCACAATTGGCAACAACTGAAACTTCGTACGAATACCCCTTATGCGTTATTCCCGTCATGATAATCTCGTCCAACCTCTAGTTCCCCTATTTTAAGGAACCATATTTTTCTCTAAATCGGCGAATTCCCTTGCATTCTTCACTAACGAAAAACTATTTCCAACCTATACTCCCGCTTTTCGAATGAAAAGGAGTACCTCAAGTTCATCGTAAGCTTCCAACAGTCGAGTCGTCCGACCAGACCTCATTCCTCATTACGGAGCAATTAGAAAATGTGGTTAGAAGGAGGGGCATCGCTTTTATCCAACACTGAGTGCTAGAGTGCAGAGAAGGATGGGTAGCCGACCCCACCTATGTTGGAAGACCATTCTAGACAAAAGAATATATAATTGTTTTTACCAATGTCTCAAGATGGGAGAAGTGCTGGGGAGGATATGAGATGAAAGGTTCGTGCAAAAAGCATGATGGGGTATGAGTTGAATATTCTACTAACTCGCCCACTCCGGCGTTCCTTTCGTCCTGAAGTTTAGGCCAAAAAACTGTTTATTGAGAAACGTTCCTGTGCACTATTGTGGGCTAACCTCAATATCGGCGCTCTAGCGCTCAACGTTGAAAAATAAGTGGAGGTCTCCCAACTGCATTATCACCTCCTAATTTTGTATGGACTGACACAAGACAGATCGAAATTTCTATTCCGCAGCATCTCTTCACTCCACAATACATACTCCGCCCTGCCACCGTACTCACTTCACTCCATTAACCTATCCACCAAGTTACTGCTGCCTTTCCCATCACTTTGTACCCTTATCGTAACCATAAAGTGTACGGACGAACAGACGGACAAACCGACACACCAGGTTACTGTTTTATAAGCAAGTAAAATATATTCATACATTTCTCGATGGCGCATTCTGACATGCCATTGACAGCCCACGTGCAGGAAAGTAGCCTAAACTGAAGCGCTGCATTGCACAACATTGCAGACAATATCGACATGACGATATGGTGCGCCGCGCGACAGACGACTTTAGACTCGATGCGCACATCTATTAAAGGTGTGGTAGCTTGTAACCAAGCGGCGTGCAACCCTCGCTGTGAGGTGAGATTTGAATTTACTTTGAAAAATTATATATATTTCCGTGAAAGCCTATGGGTTGCCCGTGGGAAGCCAGAAGACTTGCAACTTCCTACAAACTCCTGAACGGACTCCTAAAATTAAACCCACCACTGACCTCGACTGGAACCACGACTGCCATCTATATGCTGTCCGAAGGCTAGGTTTTAATGCTAAAGTGAATTCTTGACGTTTTATTGAATTCTGTTATTCAAACCACTTCCTCCATCAAATTGTCCCAGAATAGACGTTGGCAACCACTCAAACTTCTTCGGTCTTGATATGTGACAGAAGGCGGTATTTTTTGCACTCCCGTTCTTTTGGGCGATAGCTCGGCTACAGCAGCAAGGGTATTCCTACACAACATTTATAGGTACTCCGCGAGCTCACAACAATTTTAGCAATTCGTCACCGCTGTGGTGACAGGCCGACGGGTGATTTCATTTAGTTTAGTGAAACTCTCTCAAACGCAAACATAAGATGTAATTGTAGTGCGTAAGAGTAGACGTCGACGACCATCAGTCGCAGATTCCAAAGTTCGCAACAAGCTGAACGCAACGATTCGTGCGCACAGCAACTGGTATTTTCAAGCATTGAACACATGGTCAGCATTACTGATGCTTTAAGGAGAAGTTTTCACCACCAAATGCACAGGCAGAGAGGAATCTGAAGGGGTAAGTTCCGAACTTCGTCAATGGACCAAAAACAGGAATGCCGTGACACTCACAAAAGAATCGAACATCGGTCAATCGGATCCTATCACGCTAGCAGCTCACAATCTTCATCAGAGCACTGAAAGATGAAGATGTTTGGCTCGGGCCTTCTGAGGAAGAAGGCCCACCCGAGTTCATATGCTCACGACACAGCCAGCAGGAGACGGTTAGACGACAAAGTGACACAATCGATTTCAGTGGCGATATGCAATATAAATGCAGTGTAACCGTTTTGAGAAAAGTGGGTGCTTTCATTTGCAAATATCATTAAAGAAAATAGCAATAACTTTAAGGTTCCGGGAAAACCGCAGAAAATGTTTGTAATGACCAACATTTTCTGAGCTGAACTCACAGGATTTTCTTTGATGTAACTTCCGTTGATACCGAGACCCCATCGAATTATTATGCATACAAGACAGAGTTTTCTGATGATGTAGTGCCAATATTCGTTCAAGTAGATAAGATTGGATAGCTGAGGTACATTTGCAATGAAAATCCCAACACAGAGAGCTCCTGAAATCAAAAGCTTCAACTTTAAGATGACCTTCTTGTCCTTGTTAGCCAAAATCTGATTACAATGCTATGTTTCAAGAGAGCACAACGTGCAGCTAGCAGTTGTTTTGACGCTTTGCCTTGTTGGGTACAGTTCGAACCGCGGGCATTGACAAGGTATGGAATCAGATTCAACCCTGGTCTTACAAGGTAAGGATAGTCGGTCGCAGTGGCTATTCAAGATGAGATTTATACAGCCGTAGGTGGTTCCAAACGCTGATCTGAAATCTGTGTTCCAAATCTGCGAAACAATCCTGGGAACAAAATTACGGGACTAATTCCTGTGTTATGCCACTGCAATGAACATATCACCGAGCCGAGCAAAGCCCTTGCATGGGCAACGTTGGCTTAGCGGCTAGTGGAGTGGTCTGAAAGGCAAGACATCAGATTCCATTCCTTGTTGCATGCTCTCCTTTTGCTTTTCATAAAATGTGTCGTAAACGCTTGCCAAACGTTTTTCGGGCTCAATATTGACCATCTCAGGAGCTAACTCACATTTTGGGATTCCAGGGAACAGTAAACCAATAAAATTTTCTAAACCTCTGCTGACCAAATATATACGTCTCTCTCCCCTAACAGCCAAGATAGTGTTTCGAAATCTTCGGCTCTCCCTGCACTTACATTAGACGGTGGTCGAATGGCTCACATCCGACCACAGCCCTCTTTAGGAGGATCGGCCCATACATTCTACTAATGTTGTCCGTTTCAGAGCGGTGGTACAGGTTAAATGGCATTGTTGAAGACATAGAAAAACTTTCAGAAATATAAAGTTTAGATTAATATCGCTATTACCGCTTCGTGTGCACGAATAATTATCCACTGATTCTTGAGGTGAACGCCCTTTCAAGTACCCTTCCATGAAGTAAAAGCGATGGAAGGCTATGTACTCCTCCACCGCCGCCATAAAATTGGAGCTCATGGACCGGTCCACAAAGTTTGAGGCTTAACTCCGGAACCTCTATATCCCCACAAACGCACGAGGCTCCTTCGCGAATTTACGGGTCCATCGTCACTCATCATCAGACGACCGCAGAGGATTAATGTGATCGCCTTTCACTGACTCGACTTCCTCGCACTGGATAACGGAACTGTTTTCATAGCATAGAGCAGTACGGTTTAGGAACTCTTTATTACCCCCTCTTCCCAGATGTCACCTACGTTACGCTGCAAGAAAGAAAGTCCTCCATCAAATGCAGTGGCACAACCTTTGGCCAGAATATTTCACTGGTAGCATTCTGAAGACCGCCTGATCCGATGAATCATTTATAATCATTCTCTCCGAATCCACTGAAGCCCATTTTGAGCGTTTACTTAGAATTACTCTTTGTTTTGAGTGAGATCCAACCTTATTGGGCCGGAGAGGGGCAAAAATAGGCTTCTCCTGTAATACCTTTCCAACGTTTTGCAAGCGTTTAGGACGAGGATGAAAAAGTAAAACGAGCGCATGCATCAAGGAGTAGAACCCTGGAAATGGTTCCGTAACTGTGATCCCAGAATCGTTTTGCAGATTTACAACTCAGCTCTCTCGTGATAACTTGCAAGCAGTATAGGTAGCAGTCCATCGAGAAATTTTGGAAATTATTCGAAACTTGATGGAGGGAAAACGCTTACTGGGAGGTTAAAAAATTTCATTACAAAAACTCCTAAAGGTGAAAGCGCGTTGAATGATGTTATATGTTCAATAGGAGGTTGTGTTCACGAATGCCGGCAACAACATAGAACTCACCGAATAAAGAAGGCAGCTTGAAGATCGTTACGAAATAACCTGCTATGATCGAAGCTGCCCAGAAAAAAAATACAGAAAATGTCGACGACACCATTTCATCCATCGTACTTTCAGTCGTAAATGTCGAGTTGGAATAAGGGTGAACTTAAAATACTCCATGCTTTGTGAAGGTCTAGTGCCAAAAAAAAGATTAAGAGGAACGAATTTACATAAATGTCTCCCAACAATTGCGGCAAGTGAAACATAGATCGACAGGAATAAAATTGAAAATGTTACCACGAGATTCACCTGCAAAAAAGTACATGAGTGAAGCCAAAGAGTCACACTCCCTATTTGGACTTCCTCACAAAGCCACAAATTTGTTAGAATTGCTTAGAAAACCTGCTTCTCACAAATCGTATGTATGTATGTATGTATGTATGTATGTATGTATTTTATGTATGTTATGNCTTCCTCACAAAGCCACAAATTTGTTAGAATTGCTTAGAAAACCTGCTTCTCACAAATCGTATGTATGTATGTATGTATGTATGTATGTATGTATGTATGTATGTATGTATGTATGTATGTATGCATGGCGTCCGATCCGTCCTCCTCTGAGCAACCTGACTAGTAATAGCTTAACGCATCTTTCAGCTTCACAATCGGTATTGAGTAAAATTTTTAATCGCATTACACAACGAGTACACGTGGTGCTCAAGGCGAGTTCGTCTCCATACCTCAGCTTCTAGTGAGCAGTGTCTATGGAAATTGAAAGTAGCAATGTGTTTCGATGAAGTTGGCAAACCGAGTTTTGTCAAAAGACTTTGTGTGAGTTTTCTGAGCCATGAAATATTAGTAGCTATAGAGCCAGCTACATTATTATAGTAGAATATGAAGGAAATATTAGAGCCAGCTATATTAGTAGAATATGGAGGTTTGAGTACGGTGTCTCAGCCTAGCTCCTCAAATTTCCGAAGAAGTACTCCTAGCCTCATGGGATCGAGAAGCACTGAAGCTCGTCTCAGCCTTCTTTCCGAATAGCTTTCGCAACATTTTCAAAGCCACATTTCATGATAATTTTGAGTAATCCAGATTATTACGAAAAATGGAAGATAAGATGGAAACTAGTGCGATTAAGGGGAGAAACTGCGTGTTCGGTGTCTCCAAAGTAAAAAAAGCTTCAAAAAATTGTAAAAAGGTGGCTGGACGAGATGAGTTCAGAAAAATAAACAGGAATGGGGCGTTTGGACGGGCTACACATGTGCATCATTGCGTATGAGTGGGTTCCGGTGCGAAAAGCTAATTACGGTAAGCAAAATTCATCCATTCATAAACATAAGTTGACGAAGAAACTCTAGTAACAGTGAAAATAGCCAACCTTTTTCAGCCTCAGTAGGTAGAGAATTAGAATGAGGATAAAGAACAACGCATAAAAATGGGAGAAAAACATCGCCTCATCACTCGGCTATCAGCTGATCTTGTGTGGCGATTACTTGCAATCTCTATCGCCTCGACACTCGTCTGACGTGACATCGGTCGAGGGGCGGGAAGGCCAGGCGAGCCGGGATGGAGATCCCACTGTGCCCTAAACGTCGAGTTTTTGAACGCCAGAGGGTCCTTCCTTTTACCCTTGGGGGCGCTGGGTATCCCTAACAAAGGTCTTTCAGGGCGTGGGACGCTTTTTGAAAACGGTTTCTTGCATGGTATAGGGGCATGAGCACTGAGAGTAGAACTATGGTCCGCTGAATGGGCTTCTGACTGCCAAAAAAGGGTGAAATGATTTTGTCAGAAATTGAAATTTAACCCATTGAGCGTCGTTTGTTTCATTCATGGCGCCGACTGCCCGCAGAGTAGAAGGCGCCAGTGGACTACGCATCGGAAATAACGTGAACGGTAACCAAAAAAGGGAGCCACATGTTGAAACATGTTGAAAAGTGCGGGAAGTTTCGTATGCGCTCTTACAGTTGATCTGCTAGAAGCGTCGGATGGTGTGGTGGATAGCGATGTTGACTTCGAGTGGGGACGACTAGGCTGGGTTAGTGGTTCGGCTCCGCGAGGCTCTGACGTTTTGCATTTTATGCTGCCACCTCCAGAATAGCTACATATTGTAAGAGGGTCATAAGCGCCTGACTGGTCATGGTCATGACCAGGACCAGCGATAACCTCTACAAGTCGTTACAATTTGATGCACTATCAGTGAAGGAGCTTCCAGGCTTCACACTCCCAGGAGTATAAAGGGGGTCCCTTCATTTCACACTGTATAAGTGTTGTAAGGGGGGGGGGTCAAAACCTATAATATGGTTCCTGTTCGATGGAAGCTGTCCTCGATCCCGTTCGTCAATGCAAAGATAACAGGATTCCCATATTCATTGTAGCTCCCGATTCCCTAGCTTCAACTGGGCGTCAAACGCGGACTTCTGTGGGAAAACGAATCAAATCCTCTCTCAACTCGTCTTCTTGCTGAAGGATCCATGAGCATTGGGCTTGACATGAGAAGCTGTCACCCCTGAAGGAAATCATTCAAGCGCCAGATCACTAGATTAATGACTAGATGAAGGGTTTGGGCGATACCCGTTCCCACCATACGATCCCCTAACTCCGCGTCCTGCTATAAAGGGCTGGCAGGATGCGATCAAGAAAGACATTGCTGAGGTCGAGGTGACTGCAGAAGATGAGTGACTGACGTGAGGAGAGAAGGAGATGACCAACCTGAACAGTGGACAAAAACTGTTCAACGGCGCGAGAACACGCTAGGGTAAAAAAATCAGTGAAATCGTCAAAATTAGATGCGCCTCTCATCAGTTCTGACGGAATCGGTCAAAATAAATTAACAATCAAACCATTACTGTCCAAATCATTCAAAGAATTGTATGGACCGTGCAATGTCCGAGTCCAGATGATATGACATTGAGTTTTTTGTCTACCGAAATGATACCATACCAATATACCAACATTTTGCCAACTGAATTAACTCCCGTAGGAAGGACGCAAAAACAGCCGAACTGATGAAAACAACTACATGAGGAAGTTGAGGGGGGGGGGGGGGGGGGGGGNGGGGGGACTCCTGGGTTGTGAAGCCTGGAAGCTTCTCCACTGATAGTGCTCCACTCATCAAATTCTAACGACTTGTAGAGGTTATCGCTGGTCCTGGTCACGACCATGACCAGTCAGGCACTTTCTTTGACCCTAGTACAATATGTAGATAATTTGGAGGTGGCGGCATAAAATGCAAAATGTCAGAGCCTCGGGGAGCCGAACCACTAACCCAGCCTAGTCGTCCCCACTCAAAGTCAACATCGCTATCCACCACACCATCCGCCGCTTCCAGCAGATCAACCGTAAGAGCGCATATGAAACTTCCCCGCACTTTTCAGCATGTTTCAACATGTGGCTCCCTTTTTTGGTTACCGTTCACGTTATTTCCGATGCACAGTCCACTGGCGTCTTCTACTATGCGGCCAGTCCACGCGATGAATGAAACAAACGATGCTTAGTGGATTGAAACGGCAATTTCTGACAAAACAATTTCATTCCTTTTTTGAAATTCAGAATGTCATTTAGCAGAATCAACCAGTGCTAATGCCTATATACCATGCGAAAAACCGCTTTCAAAAAGCGTCTCACCCCCTGGAAGGCATTCCTTGTAAGAGGAGCACTCAGTAACCATTTTTATCGTTAACTGTGCTGAGTGGCGTAAATGAAAGCTGTGATCGTGTGCCTTTGTGGGATCAATTCATTTAGCACTGCGTACCCTTGTGAAGATCCTTCTTAATGTGCATGTCTAATTCTGCTTACATAGGTGGCTGTTCTCCTTCAGGCAGTCAGACAGCACAGTGTGAATTGGAGTAGACAGCGTCAAAAACGGCGAATTGTTCTACATCTATCACATGCTAGAATGTCCATATAGGTGAAAAACCGAAACCACGCACTTCGGAGAGAAAAAACTTTCTCAAGGCTTTTCGATAGCCCTAATATTCCTACTATATATAACGCGCTAAGTGTGTGTGTTGGTTTGTCTGTGTGTGTGTGTGTGTGTGTGTGTGTGTGTTTGACCGGAAATTCATAACTCGGGTTCCCGTCGACCTAGAGAGTTCAAATTTGGTAGGGGTACAGGCGGCAGGATATGAACACTAATGGTGGGTGGCGGAGCCGGACTCCGCCCACAGGGGGCGGGGTTTGTGC